ACTGTTAAAGATGTTCACTGCTTTGCTGCTCAGTATATGCAGAGATCATCATTTTTCCATGCGTGGGATCTAGGCATATATGGAAGTCAAATCTAAAATCTTCGGAATTGCACATGAGCATAGAGCGTCCTTTTTAAATTTTAGCTCCTAGTTTTTTTTTGGCTACCAAGTTAATAATTTTCCCACCAAAATTCCTCGTGCCGTACGTGAGACCTAGAAGCACAAAAAAGTTGAATTTGAAATGTTTGGCTTGCACATAGACATTGAACATCCTCGTAAAATTTTAATTTCTTAACCCTTGTTGCTCCCGAGTAATTTTAAAGGCTGAATTTAAATTCGGGGAGTCTCATATCTGCTGGGAATACTCCCCTAAAACTCCAGCTGCCTAGTTTTTTGGTTCCCCAGATAATTTTAGCACCAGAAACCTCACGTCATCACAAATGAGTGATACGGAAATTATAGGGGTGTGAGATCTAGGCATAAGTACAGGCTGATTTAAATTTGCGGAGTCGCACAGGGAAAGGAGCATTCACCTAAAATTTCAGCTTCCTAAATTTTTTGATTTCCGAGTTGAAAACCTGGAACTATATGTACACAAACACATGCGCGTGCGAACAAACACACAAATACATACACTGACAGTGGTGTAACAGCACTGTTGTACAGCTGTTACACAGCAAAGAAGCGTTAAAAGTTGAATCGAAAGGTTTATCTGATTATAAACGTGGATATGTAAATGTTAGGACTTGAAGAAGAAAAAAAAAGGAACGATGGGTTGGGACGAATCGCCATGGCAACGGCACAGTGAAGGTCCACGGAAACGGCATGTTGCTCCGGTAAACAGTATAATATTTCTAAACAGAGCATCAATAGGCAAAAATGCCAGTTCTGAATTTCTAAATTTTTTGTTTTGGATGACTGGATAAGTCAAACAAACAAAATAACTTGAAAAGAAAAGATAGGTACAGCGTTTTTTGCATTATATGACTTGGACTTGCAGCCTGACCTGAACAAAGTCTTTGTCTGATTGAACACTTTTTTCCCCATTTAAATTTCTTACTCCGTTTCGGCGAATCCCAGCTGCCGCAGAATATCGTACTGTATCTGAAGCAGAAGGCACAGAGCGAGGGAGATATAACATTAAAGTGGACATCATGTTGCATCCCTCTCGCTCTGTGCCTTCTGCTTCAGATACAGTACAGTGTTTACTATTAAAACATCTCGGTGCACTGTTCAATACAAATCAAAAAATGAACTGACTGGACACTGTAATGATCGTCGAAGCAGTTCTGGAAGGCTTCAATATCAGCCACCCTTTTCGAAAGTGGTCAAACTGATCCCAGTTGAACGACTCAGGAATAAATGTTCATCACAATTACTTAACAAATCCCCACACTTCTGTATTTAATAGTATTTCCTAGTTTTGAAAGAAATTGAAAAACAGAGTTTACAAAAAAACTGAGCAAAAGCTGAAGGTTGCTGGGATGCGTCACGGCGTTGTGCAGCGACTGGATGGGGAAGCATATCCAGAAAGTGTGCGTTGAGGAGAGATTCGCCTACAAGTTCGACGCACTTTCAGGTATGCAATGCCGAGGGAATATAGCTCGAAGTCGCCTAAGCTGAAAATTGACTGCCTAAAGAGGAAACGCGCAAGGGAGCAACTGTGCCTGTGAATCAGATCCAGGAACGCAATGCCCTCCACTCTCTGCTGCCCTCAATTCCAGAGTGCACTGGAGTGGACAATCGAATTCCCGTAAAATGCACTCTCCACCCACCACTCGCACTCAAGTGCTACGAGTAGCACTATGACCACCGCTTCCCCTGGATAATCAACCGCAGGCAACTTCCTCGATTTGTGACTGCTTTACGTCTGTGTTGTGCTGACCTTCGAGGTGCTGCGCGGGAAAGTGGACAACAGTCACCTGCCAAGTGGACGTGACTGTGGTCAGCGTATGAGTTTCGTTAGTGGCAGTAGGGATTCCTCGCAGGTGTTAAAGATCGTTTCCCCCGGGAGCTTGTTTTTGGTGTGCCCGAAAGTTGTAATTCGAGTGGCAGCTGCCGTTCTTCACTTCCCAGACATATTGCATTTCCCGATGTCGTGCATTATCTGGATGCATGCAGATGTGTGAAGTACCTCACGAGACAGCCACGTCCTTTCTAAACGACGCGTAAATTGCTCGCCAATCTAGCCTTACTACTGCATGTTTATGATTGTCGCAGTGTGCGTGTGTCTGTATAAGTGTTGCGTGTGTCTGTATGCGTGTGTGCGTGTGTCTGCATGCGTGTGTGCGTGTGTGCGTGTATCTGTATGCGTGTGTCTGTATAAGTGTGTGCGTGTGATTGTAAGTGTATGTTTGTATGTGGGTTTATGTGTTTATCTACAGTACGTGTGTTATACCACGTCATCATTAGGAAAGTGCTGTGATACGGATGCTATTGTAATTTCAGTGATGCCAGGATGCAGATGCAGCGGCAGAACACTCGGACTTGCGGCGCTCTCCTCATCCGGCTATCTTCGCTGGCACTCGTAGTTTCTGCGGCCTCATCTACTGACCAATGTAAATATTGCGCATTCGTTGTTGAAACATTCAAAGCGGTTAGTGCTTCATTGTTTTTGCTATTTAGTATCATTTTATCAATTTTCTTTTTTTTTGTTTTCCATTTGGTCGGATTTTTTGCTCCAAGCGGTATCCTGTATTTGGAGTAGAATAATTCCCCCAATTGCATGAACATTTTCGAAACTCTGTGAGGGGGGGGGCCCTTTACTGTCAGCAGAGGACATTCCTAGGAACCAAATGTCTAGTTCGGAGTAACGTCGAGCTTCTCACCTCCAACTTACCCATTTCATTCTCTCTCGTTTTCAGGAAACAGTAAATTGAGAAGCCGCCGTTTTCGTCTGCTTGCTAGCTTGCTCCACTGAAATGGTTTACTGCTTTTTGATCATTTGTTGCAGGGTATGAAAAGAACGGAGAAGCAGCACTTCGCAGGTGGCAACACCGACTGGGAGGAAAGAAACTTGGGCAAGTTCGCTAAAAGGTATGAAACTGTTTGTTTTATTGTTCCGAATGAGTTCCAACAATACAACGTAGGCTTTTTTTGCCTGCCATTTCCTTCACACAGTCTGAGATATTTCAGTGAAACAAGACTCGTTGAAATAATGGAGCATTTGTGCAAAAAAGACTACTTGGACGATTCAGGGGCGGAATTCACTGGTATCAAGGATCTCGAATTTAAGGTATTCAAGTCAGCAAACTGTTGCACGTGAAGGAGCAGCAGCAGCAGTACTGGGTACTGGTGGCATCAGTCCGAGAATAGCAACACTTATTGCAGTGCCAGCAGTTAGCTGAGGAACATGAGGAGAGCGTCGAAAACTGGTACTTCCACAAGCAGTTATCGAATCCTGACTTCCGGAAATGGCTCTGCTACGAGAAATTGCGACTGTGCTGCGATGCGGGACATTATGGTGCCGAGTGTAAACCTTGCCCTGGTGTTGACAGAGGTCTTCCAGCCTGCTCCAATCATGGATCGTGCCAGGTCTGCTCCAAAAATTTCTCTTATCACTGTGCGATGGGTATGTTGTATCATCTTCTGCGTGCAGCTCATTTTACAGTTTAATTTTATGCGTATTTTTCGCTCTGATGAAGCTGACGACTATCCTAACAGCGCACTGCGGATGATAAGTTGTTTCAGGGTGACGGTTCTCGGGGAGGAACTGGACTTTGTAGTTGTCATAAAGGATACGTTGGCTTTATGTGCAGCAATTGCGATGCGAACTATTATGCCGTCCAGAATGGTTCTACCCTAACCTGCCATGGTAATCTTTTTCAGATTTAACTGGAACCGCCTTTGATAGCTTGGTATCACTGTTGCCAGACCTCTTCTGACTGGTACCTCCATCTTTTCTCCTTGCCTGTACCTCCTGCCAGTCATTAGCATTTTTTTGGCCAAATATTATGTTGCTGTTAGTGAAATTTGTGTACTCTGGCTAAAATGACCAACTTTTGAAACTCCACTCGACATTTGCCTTCTTAAACAGCGGAATTGGGCTTCCTTTTCAGTGAGACAAAACAGGGACTTTCCTCTTTCCCCCACCTTTCTTTCAGTTCATATCTTTGCATCTGCAGAGTTTCGCTTGAAGCATACTGCTAAATCACTTCTGGGAAAAAAACTGACATGTAGGTACTAGAAAGTAAACATCAACATCAGAAAGGACTGAGTTTGAGAACTATTAAACTACATTTGATGTTATAAGTTGCTAGCTGCGCAGCTGTTGAGCTATATTACACATTGACAAGTGTACGAGTAAAATATAGATAAAAATAAATATATGAAAAAATTCTGCCGGTTTTTGGAAGGATATTCTGTGTTTGTCACCTGTTATATTTGTATATGTATATATTATATACACATATATAGTTGACAAACACAGAATTATATGTGTATATTATATATTATAATGTAGATATATGAATGTGTTTTCGAAATAATATATGTGTATATATTATATAACATACATATTTTATACATGTT